TGTTTATTCTAAGGATTACTAAAGAGGCAATAGGAATTAGGGGTGTCCCAATACTACTTTTTAATTTCCAATACAATACCCATATGGCAGCTTTGACAATTGGTACGTACCAATGTTGTACTGATTGGATATGAGCACAACTCATACCAGCTTTTATTACTAATTTTATACTGCAAAATGTAAAAAAAAAAAAGGCTTGATCAAGTAATACAAAACAAAAGTCAACAACAAATGGTATGAAAACAACTAACCCAAGTAAAATTAACCAATAAGTTACAGAATTTTTTAACAGAAGCAGAGGGTTTCTATCAGCATGAAAATATCTGAGATTTTAGACGTCAGCCGATAAAATCCGACATTAGTTTTTTTGGCTAATATCAGACAGATATCCTTAGACTCAGCTTTATTAGTCCCTTAAAATTACTCCTTCAGGCAAATTCTGGTTCCAGTACCAAAAACAGTTAAAGCAAGATGCCATTAAAGATAGAGGGAGACTATATAGTAGTTGACTTGGGTTATTGCACCTGCACTACATGTACTGACCTTATAAGTGAAAATTATACACACTACACAGTAGTTGGCATGTGATATTGCACAGTGAGAGAGAAAAATATGCACATAAGTGACAATATGTAATGTTTTGCATTAGATGTCCAAGGAGGGGGGTGCTGACCTGTATCCCTAATAGGAATATAAGTGTGAATTCCTGCTTTAAATATATGTAAATTGATAGAAACCACATATTTACATCCTTTTTAGATAATAATATGATCTAAAAAAAAAAATGTTATTTTGAAAACTGCAACAAAATTTGTCTGTAACATGAAAAGAAACAGCGGGAGTTTTCTTCCCTTACTGTGAGATGTATTCATGACAGAAACATTTGCTTAATGTGTGTATATACTATATGTGCATATATATATGTGTATATACTATATATATATATATATATATATATATATATATATATATATATATATATATATATATATATACACACACACACATATATATTAAAGGTGTTTAATATAAAGAACCAGATGTCAACCTATAGAGAAATAAAAGCTTATTGTAATGCTTTATAAAATATATATCCACTCTGGAGGGTTTATTAGCACATCTATGATCTTATTTCCTTATATTCTAGCAAACACGATGGAGGTTCATATAAAAGAAAGGTAGAACATATCTGTATGAACTAAATTATATATAGACTGGTATTTTTTGTCAATTGATTTGTTTGGGATGAAAGCTGCTCACAGTTACTAATTTAACACCGCCTTGCATTTTGAAGGGCTTGTTAACAATGATTCAATAAAACATGCTGTTTTTCGAACGCTAGGTGGCGCCAATGACGGCACCTCACTTAGTGTTTAGTTAGGTTTGCGTCTGCTGAGGTTTCCTAGAATTTGATTGGTTGAAAGGTTTCCAAGGTTTTGATTGGTTGTCAGGAGGCTCAGCTTTATGGTGCCAATCAGAGCCACCTGCGGTCACTCTACCTGTGACTATATTCACTTTTAGAAGTCACGTAAAGTTATCTCTACTTAACAGAAAAAAAGTTTATAAACTGCTAAACTTTCCTTAATGTTAAAATTTAGGAAATATCCCAAAGAAATATGTAATATGAAACGTTTCCCCAAAAGAAGAAAAGGAAAAAAGCACCTAATTTAGTGTAGCTTCAGGTAAACCTTGGAGTTTTAGGCCCGACTATGCTTTATGGAAAAATACACGGTCATGAAAAATAAAAGATAATTAAAGGTAAGTTCACATTTGTTCTATTGTAGTTTGAAATGAGCCTTTTGGGGATAATTTAAAATGTCCTATTGGTGTAAATATGGGCTAATTTATTCAGAAAACAAAATGCAGACCTGGCTCTAAACACACTTTTGATTTTTAAAATTACATGTTTCTTTGTTGTTGTTTTAGTTGTATCAGACAGCTGCAAGAATTGAGGAGCTAAAATCTAGGGATAATTATGCCTCTATTAGATTACATTGAAACTTCAAAGTTGTGGTCTAAAGTAAAAATAATATAAGTCTCAACGTTAAGCAACCAAGGTTAAGTAGTTTTTCTCCCTTAGCAGTCAAACAGCAGCAATGAGCAACAAGCCAAAATGTCACACATTCAGCTTGGATTTATAATTCAGTTCAGTTAATTTCTATAGCGCCAATTCACAACACATGTCATCTCAAGGCACTTTACAGTTCACCAGATCATACAGTCAAATGGATTCAAAGTTTTCAATCCAAGGAAAACCAGTTGATTGCATCGACTCATTGATTCGAAGGCAATCCCTGACACTAAGCATGCTTGGAGCGACAGTAGAGAGGAAAAACTCCCTTTTAACAGGAAGAAACCTCCAGCAGAACCAGGCTCAGTGTGAGCGGCCATCTGCCGAGCACATCCAGCCAGTCACAGTCAGAGAAACAGGACTACACTGAAAAAACAGGCAGATCTCCAACATCTATAAACAAAGGTGTTGATGGCAGCAGAACAGCTGATATTTCTCTACAGGATGGTGTCACAGCCAAACAGGAAGACAAGACAAGGCAAAGCTTCTATGAGAAAATTTTAATGCATGAAAATACCCTGTGCAATAATGCTGAATAATAATCCTTATAAAAAAATAAAAAAACTTCAGCTGTCATATATATATATATATATATTGCATTCTGATATATTTTTAAACTTCAGAAATATTTCAGGGTTGTAGGCTGATCTTCTAACCAGGGGGTCAGACAATGGGAAGAATCTGACCTCAGCCTCTCAATAAATAATCTATTTCCCCTTCACAGCCATCTCAGATAAGGTGGAAAACCACTTCCCAGACTAATGCAAGCAGGTTAGTGCTGAGACGACAGAAAGATATGGAAGACAATAATGGGTCGGCACTAAGAGAGATCCCTCTAGACGAAAAGACGAGCATTATATACCTGTTCTAAGATGTCAGTTTTTCCTTTCCTCTCATTATGATGTTCAGCAAGCTTTGAGTAGAAAATAGAGTCCAATTGCCTGCAGAAGACACCTATAGCAGCTAATAAAATATATATATAACTGCTCTCCTAAAGAACTGCAATAAAACTGATTGCAGCTTAGCTTTCAGAGAGAGATATTATTTTTTTTAATCGGCCAGTCTTTCTGCCCAGAATTTTTCTCTTGGCTGCTAGTTACATCATTTGATGTTACCATATTTTAATGTAAAAAAACAAAAAAAATCACTTTTAGCATTTGTTCTAATAGTTTACCTATTAGTTTCCTCCATTTTCAGAGGATGTTCTTTTTCCGGGTGGATTATCAAAATAAGTGGTCCTCCTAATTGTCAATCATTCTGCTGACATGTTTACATAAGGCCATCCTACGTGCTCATCCCCAGTTAGCTAGCTTTTTCTGCGCATGCGCACTTTCAGGCGTATACGTGTGGTGAGCTGCGATCTCAGACAGTCATTGAAGCACAGCGTTCTCACCGCGGTTCTTTGATTCTTTCGATGGTCGTAAAAGAAAAGTGTTTACGAAGCATGTGTGCACAAAAGAAAGGCCTCAGAAGATAGAAACAAGATAGAAATGAGATTCTTTCATGCAATGGTGTACAATGAAAGCACAGATCAGCCTTCCCACTGATGGCTTGGTTAGGTTTTCACTTACAGGTGGTGAGTTTGACATGGAGGAAAAATTGATAATCTTTTGGAAAATAAGTTTGTATGAACGATGCAAATGGCAACTTTTAAACAGAGCGTGCACGAGTAGAAATGGGCTTGTGCACGCTCTCACACGTTTAATAGGCATTCCCTATCGGGAGCGCGTACAGGGTTGTGCATGTGCATGCACTATACCTTTAAGAGTACATATTGCATTATTTACAAGGTTTTTTTGTGTTCTCCCTCTTCGATTCTACATCGTCTTGTTTCTTTTTTTTCCTCCATGTTCATTTTTTTTTCAATTTCATGTTACATTTTTAATTCGTAGGGGAAATTACTGCCTTGTTCCCTTAAGGCCAATTTATGCTTCTGACGCATAGCCTTTGCAACTGTCAAATCTGTCTCTGTGCATGACCACGCCCCCCGTGCAGAGGTTCTGCAACCATCGTCTCGCACCTCAAAGAAATCCTGTCTACGCGTACGACGGTCGCAAACCCACGCAGACCTCATGCTGAAGTCAGCAGACAAAAAGCAGCTGTGATTGGTCCTTGGTATGCCTTTCCGGCTGTCTGTGTGGTCGTCCTTCTCGATTCGATCTCGGGGTGCGGCATTTTTAAAAACCGGGGAGTAATAACAGCAATGGATAACCACCGCAAAAGGTTGATTAAGGAGGTTCGGAAGTACAACCACTTGTACGATGCCTCAGATATGTTGTTTAAAAATACACTCCCGTCGGCACCGCCGAAGAAGTTCTCGTGACCATCCGCCAAAGTTCTGTTAAGCTCTCGAATAGGCTTCCCCTAGCACTTTGGCAGGAAACCGCTGTGCGTCCCTAGAAATTCCAGAACGACGGTTCTGGAATAGCCTCTGCAACCATCAAATCTGTCTCTGTGCAGGACCACGCCCCGGTGCAGAGGCTCTGCAACCGTCGTCTCGTACCTCAAAAAAAATCCTGACTACACATCGGACGGTCGCAAACCCCCGCAGACGTCAAGCGGAAGTGTGCAGACAAAAAGCAGCTGTGATTGGTCCTTGGTATGCCTTTCCGACTGTCTGTATGGTCGTCCTTCTCCATTTGGCGCCGGGGCACGCCATTTTGGAAGTACAATCCGTCAAAGTTCTCAGGAGTTCTCGAATAGGTTCCCCCCCTGCGCTTTGGCGGGAAACCGCTGCGCGTCCCTAGAAATTCCAGACTGACAATGCAGAGGCATACCAGCAAAACTGGTTTGTGACCAGACCCAAGCGACATTTGATGTGTGCGGTTGCAGAAGTATAATCTGCCCTTTAGTGTCCACGTATTACATCATACCTCATAACATGCTTCCAACACGGTCACATCCATGTAAAGCAAATCAGACACATTTCTCAGTTAGCATTAGATCTTTATTTCTCATGTCACTTTAAAAGCTTACATTTAACTTGGGAATTTCTCAAATGACACAAGCAAAGATTATATACAGTACTATAAATCATCAGCTATAATAAAGGAAATCAAATGTACACATTTTGTTATTTCTGTAGCATATGTTTTCTTTTTTCTTCTGAAAGGTATAGATATTTTTTGCCGGAGGCAGATGCCCATATCCATAAAGCATTCCGTATTTCCATACTTAACTCTTTTCCGTTATAAAAATATCAGATATTTCTTAATTTTTCTCAATCCCTGTTTTGACAAGTGCATCTTGATGCGACTCCTCAACATTATTGCTGCAATAGCACAGTAGTAAATTGTGGAACTCTTAAGTAAACATATGTAGTAAAACATGGCTATTAGCAACTGGTTTTGTCTCTAGTTTTCTTCCTCTCACAGGAGTCTTTAAATACTCTACACTTTCAAAGTGCACAAAAACGGATCTGAAAATTAGAAATAAAACAAAAATAAAGGTGCAAATCATACTAGTGAAAGCGTAAGAGAGGACATGGCACTTCTATAGCGAGAGGTGAAGATGACGAGGATGGCATGGGACTCTGCAGGTAGGCTCGTTCTGATTTGGCCAGAATAAATGTGGCTTAGACACGGGCCTGGTACCAGAAACAAGGGATTAATTAATTAAAAAGTCGCACTATTAACCGTAGTAGGGTGTGTTGCAGCATCTGGTGTCTTCTGACTAATTCAGGAACGTCCCACCCCCACTTGTTGCTGAACTTATGGTCAGCTAGTTGTATTGTATAATTTAGCTTACACTGAATTAGTAAAACAAATGGTATTGATATTGTTAAAACATGAAAAAAAAATTGAAAGTAAAGCAAGTAATTTTGTTCTGATTTTTAATTTAACAAAAGCATATTTTCATACCAAAATAATCCAATGCCAGCCCAATCCTAATTTTGTACCATTTTTTCCTCATTTCCACTTTAGTATCTAAATACTGATAAACCAAAAAAAAAAAGAAAACAGAAAATACTTCAACTGTTATCAGTTTAACGTGGTTCCCCCGTTCATCTACCTTTTTATTTTTGTCCTATAATTCTCAGTTCTTTAAACATGAATAAAAAGTAAAAGTTGTTCTGGTTTCTCATAAAGTTTAACTTAATTACTCTGCTGGAAGTTGAAACACTGGAACTCAAGTCACTTGAAAAAAGAAAAAACACTGACGATTCTCACAGATGAGTAAAACAAAAACTAAATCTGCGGCGAACGCTGAAAAAGGCAAGGCATTTTCTGTCGGAGTTACCTTTGAGATGTTTTTAAATACCTACTTTATCTTTAATCAGTATCTACAAAATGCGCGTCGATCATTTTGTACACAGTGATTCATTTACCGCAATGATAACTTGTAGTCATGTACAGCATGGCGCCCCCTCCTGCCTCGGAGGACAAAGTCCACTTAAAGCACTTTACCTGAGGTTTCTTTAAGGATGCTGCAATTTGCCTAAACAGGGAGGTTTACACACGAAACGAAACGCACACATACATATGCACGCACGCACACATACACACGGCTTGTACACTTGGATAACATCCCTGCAGGTTCATCAAGCATGCTCTCATAGGCTCCTGGGGGATATGACGCCTGCATTAAGAGAAGGGGGAGGGACTGAAGTCCTGTTAGGGAATCGAGGGAGACTTTCAGCTCCTCATCCAGCAAAATCCATGCAGAGACTGTTGTGAGGCTTGAGGAGCGTCACATGATAGACTTGGCTATTGCTGTTTTTTGCAGCTGGTCGCTCTCGCTTTGAGTCTTTTTTTTTTCCTCCCCGCTGCTGTATCGTCACAGCTTCCAAACATCTTCTCTCGTTAATGGATAAAAGAAGCTCGGCAAAGTGTCTCTGTTCTCCGCTGTGGAGTTGAGTCTTTTTTGTTGTGTTTTTTTTAAATAACAGGCTAAGTTAGCGCCCCTCACATGGAGGTCAAATGCAGCCAGCTGGTATCGAATGACTTGACCCTCAACGTTTAACCCTCTGTCTTGGATAGGGTGTTGATGGGATGTGGGGGACCTGGGAGAGCAGGTTCGGGGTAGACAGCCAATCTCTAGGGGGAGGAAGAGGATCTTCTGCTTGTGGAAAAACTGTAAAAATAAAATAAAGTCACCAGTGGAGCAGATGGTTATTTTTAGCTTTACAGGTGCTGGTCATAAAATTAGAATATCATGAAAAAGTAGATTGATTTCAGTAATTCCATTTAAAAAGTGAAACTTGTATATTATATTCATACATTACATACAAACTCATATATTTCAGATGTTTATTTTGTTTAATTTTGATGATTACAAATGACAACAAATGAAAATCTCAAATTCATCATATCAGAAAATTAGAATATTGTGAAAAGGTTCAAAATTGATGGCCCCTGGTGCCACACTCTAATCAGCTAATTAACTCAAACCACCTGCAAAAGCCTTTAAATGGTCTTTCAGTCTAGTTCTATAGGCTACACAATCATGGGGAAGACTGCTGACTTGACAGTAGTCCAAAAGACGACCATTGACACCTTGCACAAGGAGGGCAAGACACAAAAGGTCATCGCTAAAGAGGCTGGCTGTTCACAGAGCTCAGTGTCCAAGCACATTAATAGAGAGGCGAAGGGAAGGAAAAGATGTGGTCGAAAAAAGTGTACAAGCAAGAGAGATAACCGCACCCTGGAGAGGATTGTGAAACAAAACCCCTTCAAAAATGTGGGGGAGATTCACAAAGAGTGGACTGCAGCTGGAGTGAGTGCTTCAAGAACCACCACACACAGACGTATGAAAGACATGGGTTTCTGCTGTCGCATTCCTTGTGTCAAGCCACTCTTGAACCACAGACAGCGTCAGAAGCGTCTTGCCTGGGCTAAAGAGAAACAGGACTGGACTGCTGGTGAGTGGTCCAAAGTCATGTTCTCTGATGAAAGTAAATTTTGCATTTCCTTTGGAAATCAAGGTCCCAGAGTCTGGAGGAAAAGAAGAGAGGCACTTCATCCACGTTGCTTGAAGTCCAGTGTAAAGTTTCCACAGTCAGTGATGGTTTGGGGTGCCATGTCATCTGCTGGTGTTGGTCCATTGTGTTTTCTGAGGTCCAGGGTCAACGCAGCCACATACCAGGAAGTTTTAGAGCACTTCATGCTTCCTGCAGCTGACCAACTTTTTGGAGATGCAGATTTCATTTTCCAACAGGACTTGGCACCTGCACACAGTGCCAAAGCTACCAGTACCTGGTTGAAGGACCATGGTATCCCTGTTCTTAATTGGCCAGCAAACTCTCCTGACCTTAACCCCATAGAAAATCTATGGGGTATTGTGAAGAAGAAGATGCAATACACCAGACCCAACAATTCAGAAGAGCTAAAAGCCACTATTAGAGCAACCTGGGCTATCATAACACCTGAGCAGTGCCACAGACTGATCGACTCCATGCCACGCCGCATTGCTGCAGTAATACAGGCCAAAGGAGGCCCAACTAAATACTGAGTGCTGTACATGCTCATACTTTTCATGTTCATACTTTTCAGTTGGCCAACATTTCTATAAATCCTTTGTTTTTATTGGTCTTCAGTAATATTCTAATTTTCTGATATGATGAATTTGAGATTTTCATTTGTTGTCATTTGTAATCATCAAAATTAAACAAAATAAACATCTGAAATATATGAGTTTGTATGTAATGTATGAATATAATATACAAGTTTCACTTTTTAAATGGAATTACTGAAATCAATCTACTTTTTCATGATATTCTAATTTTATGACCAGCACCTGTATGCTATTTTAGCATGAATAAAGCCGTTACCTCTGGAGCCTTTGCACCATATGAGCCACGAGGGAGTCAGAGATGCCAGGGTAGGCCTCTTCAGCCAGCAGGATGGCCTCTCTGAGCTCATCCAGAACCAGCGGGTTTCCATTCACCTGCTCCTGTCGGGCCTTCAGCTGAGATTTAATAAGAACAAGTGAAGAAAAATCCAAACTCACCACTGTCTCACTTTAATTATAAACCAAGCTAGAATAATCCGGTTGCTAAGGATGGGAAAGTAAATGAAGCGGTCCCTAATCGTCAAACTACTGATAAGTGGATAAAATTAAACGCCAGAGTTTGAAAGCAAAGTTACAGAAGAAGATCAGAGGACAAAACTACAATCCTTACCTCGGCTAATGCAGGAGAAATGACCGTGGTCAGGCTCTGTGAATAAGGCCTCCTTGGAATGTCTTTCGTCTGATTTAAGATAAGAAGCAAGATGGAAATTAAAATGGTACAAATTCATATTATGCACTGGAAATACTACCTAGAAATAAGTAAAAATGTCTTAAATTAAGAGTATTTACCCTTAATTTGAGTAGTTAAATGAGATAGTTTGCCAATGATATGAGTATTTTTACTCTTAAAATAAGATAAGCGTAAATTGTCTTGTTCCATTGGCAAAATGTCTCTCCTACCTCCTCAATCCAAGAAAAAAATGCACTTATTTTAAGAAAACATGACTTATCTAGATTTCGATTTTTAATTAACGACAATTACAACTTGTTGTGAGAGCACTAGCTGACCTGGTCCGCCCCCCCTGACTGGCCTTCTCCATTCTGTAGTTTCTTAGGGTCCTTTTCTCGAATGGTGAAGATCCAGTCATCGCTGCCAAAGTCATTCCCGCCTGACGCCTGGCCATCCTGTTCTCTGATTGGATCAGAATAAGATTGGATTGATTCGTTTTTACAGAAGGGAGAAAAAAAAGCCAAGTAGTTCCGATATACTTACGAGTCCGACTCATCTGAACTGGACTCTGTAGTTCTAGATTGCTCAGCCTTCCACCTCTTGTACTTGTCCACCAGCTCCGTCAGGTATGACGTCTTTTTCGCATAGCGGACAATTAATTTATGCTTCAGCAGTTCTTTGGCAGTCGGCCTCTGCGGAACGGGCAAAAGAAAAACAGTGAGGCACATCAGTCTGGGAAAAATGAGCTCAAACGTTCAGAAATGATGCAGAACGACGAGCCTACGTACAAAACTGGGCTCTTTGTTGAGACAGGCCTCGACAAACTCCTTCAGAGGTTTGCAGTAGTTGCCCTCCAGCGTGGGCGGGTTGTTCTTTGGAATGAGGAATAACACCTTCATGGGGTGGAGGTCCGAGTGGGGCGGCTCCCCTTTCGCCAGCTCGATCGCAGTGATTCCAAGTGACCAGATGTCGGCCTTGAATACACAGAAATGGAGATAACAGCGCGTGCTATCAAACAAAACTCAATGTAAACCAGCTGATATGTATTTAATTTAGACATTAATGATAGATCAACACAAAGCAGAACAGCACTCTATAGTTAAAACCATGCAAGGATTTCCTTTAAACGCCACCATCCCCAAGGCAGGACTCTTTAATTACAGCTACGAGTTGTTTGTCATTTTAGTTTAACAGGTTTTCTTCAGGATTGTCCCATTTGTTATTTATTAGCTTCTCCCAAACTAGTCTGACCAGCTGCTCTATCCCTGCAGAAGTAAAGCATTGCATAATGCAGCCTCTACCGTGTTTCGCCATGGGGATTATGTGGTCAGGAGTTAGTTCTGTGCTAAACATGGCGTTTCGGTGTCTGACCCTTCTTCCACGGGTTTGCTCTGTTCTCTACATGACTTTTAGAAAATAAGAGGTGAATTTAAGCGACTTTCTTCTATCCAGTCTTTCATAAAAGCCAGGTTTCTGGATCATGCAGGGTCCGAAATAAACTTTTTGACTCACAGGCAAAGAGGACTCATAGATAAAATTATCTACAAAGCATATTTTAACAGCTAAAAAAAAAAAGTTTGCTCTTATATATTTTTAAAGGAAAGTACTTTTCTAGAATTTAAATGCAAAATAAATGCATTTGATAAAGTGTCTGTAAATAAACCCGCTACACAACATTAATTCATATAAGTAGGTATTAATAGATTTAGTCAAAAGCAGCAAAATACCTTTTTTCTTTTCATTGTGTTGACATTTGATCATTTATTGATTGGTTCTAACTGAGGTGGAGACGTTTTTTTTTGCGTATCAGAAATTAGCCAGTCATTTTCTTCGTAAAAGTGCCATTTTTTTCAATAAACTTTCTCTTCATCCAGGCGGCTGTAGATCCTCGCTTACCTTCCTAATCATTAGCTTTTTGTATTTTAGAAAGTCTGTTCGGTCCAGCTATACGCCGCCACATTTTGCCTAGCTGCAAAGGGACAGTTGAGACTCACCAAAATAAAAGATGGAACTGAAATAAAACTGTGGTCCAAACATTTCCTCATCTTGTGGCGAATGGTGCTCTGGGATTAATTCGACAAAGTGTAGAACTTCAGCACTCTTCCACAATCTATCTGGCGACTTGAGTAAGAAACGAGGGGAGGAAGTACACGCTTCCCTAAGACCCGCCCCCTTCTTCTTCTGATTGGCTATTACTGTTAGTTTTCTTTGCTACCCTTAAATGACAAACACAAGAGGGATTTCAATTCTTTTTTTTTTATTTATTTACCGTCAATTTATTTTCGAGGGATTTTTTTTTTTTTTTGACCCACAAGCAATCGCTACGATCCCTGTGGTTTGATTAGGAATGCAGACATCATGCCTTAATGTGTCAGTAAAGTGAAAATCTGGAACATAATGCAGCGCTGCATGGCTGTAGCAACCCACGGCTTTGAACTCACCTTCGAGTCGTAAGCGGACTGTTTGATCACCTCTGGGGCCATCCAAAATGGCGTCCCGACAAAGGTGTTGCGTTTGATCTGAGTATCCGTGAGCTGGCCGGCCACGCCGAAGTCGGCCAGCTTCACCTCTCCTTGCTCGGACAGCAGCACATTGGCAGCTGTGGACCAGAAGCAAAGGAAAGAACCGTAAGGGCGGAAAATCCTGCTTCATCTTTACAAAACTGTCCATCCAGCTCATCGATTAGCATCAATCTTAGGTGAAATACAAGCTTTATAATGAATGGAGGCTTAAGTGGATGTCAATAACATTAAAGTGCAATATGATATTTACGTGTGTGCACTCTATGAAGCCGTTTACTCAGTTAGCTACCTTTAATATCTCTGTGGATCTTCTTCTCTGAGTGCAGGTACTCCAGACCCTTTAGGATTTCTCTGAGGATTGTGGCAATCTGGGTCTCATCTAAAGAGCCGGGCTCCATCTTGGACAGGGAAACAAACAGAAACGGAAAGAAAATGGCCATCAGGGTCTGAACTCGTGTGACTAAATGATGGCAGAATACGTAGAAAAATACTGGTTTGTATTGTTTTTATATTGGCTGGTGAAAAAGAAATGTATTAACTTAGAAGTCAGTAACGGCTAGGTAGTTATAGGGCTAAAACAATCGTATTAATCGATTATTTATATTCATTTATTGAAGGAGTATGGAGAGTAATTATATCAAAATTGTGAAACAAAACAAAAAAAAGTTTCCATTTAGGATTTAAAAATCATTTTCCGTCTGCGAATATGCTCTATCCAGAACTCCTCGAGTGCAAAAGTTTTAGTTTGACCTGGTTTATTTCTGTAAAAAAAAAACATTTCCTATTCGATTATTAATTGATTAATCAAAAAAATTACCGAGAGATTAATTGATTTGCAAAATAATCCTTAGTTGCAGCCCTAGGTAATTATACTGCGGAAACCTACAGCACTATATAAACGTTTTTCCTCCCTTCTAGATTTCGTGGTGTTATTTTTTCATGCCTAAGTGTTTCAGATGATCAAACAAAAATATTTTTTGATTAAAAGAGTAAACACATAATACAGGTAAATTAGCATTTTTTTATATATAGAAGAGCCATCTAAACAGACTTATGATAAATTAAACTTCCCTGTTGTTAAATCTTTTCTGATTTTTGTAGGTCTGAAATAATTAATCAGATTAATCATCATTAATTTATAATTGAAATAATCGTAAGTTTAATTTAGTAATTAATGGTTAACTGGAGTATAGAGACTGTAAAACTCACCTTTAGCTAAAAGATCAACTCACCGGCAGTAGTTATACCAAGAATGTAAAGAAACAATATATATATATATATATATATATATATATATATATATATATATATATATAAATATATATATATATATATATATATATATATATATAAATAAACATTTTGCATTTAAGAACAAAACATTTTTTCTCTGTCAATATGCTCTAACTAGAACTCCTCAAGTGTCACCTGATTTATTTTTGTAAAAAAATCTTTTTTTTAAGAAACCTTTGGCTATCAGATTATTACTAATCGATTCATTGAAAACATTATTGACAGATTAATCGATTTGCAAAATAATCTTTAGTTGCAGCGATTGATTTTTGTTGCAAGCCAGATGAATTGTCATGAGATTAATGCGTTCACAAACTCCTGAAAATACATCTTGCTAAAAGCCAACAGATGCAATAGCCTGGATACAGAAATGTTTTGGACCAATGAAATGCAGTGACGTGTATGACGTCAACCAAAGACGGAAGGCTGAAGCAAAACAAAGATAACTGCACTACTTTTAGCTGGAAAACTTTCGATTTTCCTTTTTGAAAAACGGGCTAAAGGACACAATTTATGCCTTTGTGGATGGAAAACATGTTTTTATGTTCTTCTTGAGCAAATTTCCTTAGAGTTTGGTTACAGTCAAATTAACTAGATGGGAAACAAATAAAAAATGTGATACGTCAAAGGGTTCGTGTACGTTCAGGCAATTCGTTTTTTTCTTGAAAACTAAACCAAAAATGGAAACTACTTCCATTTTTTTCATTTACACATCAAAAATGGAAAACAAAGCACAAGAAATACAATAAACTATCATGTCGTAACGTAAAAAGATCTTTTTATTCAAAAGAAATCTCTATGCTTTATTTTTTTTGCCGTCAGGCTTGCATTATGTTACGCATATATCCTTTTTTTATTAAACATTTTGAACAAATGTACAAAATCACATGGTATGTATATACATGAAGTCAAATCCAAAAATGAGTTATTTTTTACATTAATTTTTTCAGTTTTTTATTTAGAAATTCTGGTGACGGGAAAGGAAAAACGGCTTTGTTTTCCGTTATTGATTTGTAAATGGAAAAATGGTAAAAGGGAAGTAGTGTCCGCTTTTTGGTTTTGCTTTTCAAGAAAAAAAAAATATTATTTGCCTGAACTTACAAAGACCGTCACAGCTGCTGCTGTGATTGGCTAAAAAACTTGACATGGGAGAAGAATTGCACGGAATGTCCCACCCTTAAGTGAAAACTTTCCACAGGGGGTTTTCCAGATTGATACCAGATAGAATTCCAGTTGAACTACATGTATTAATCTGGTTTATGACAAGTTAGATTTTTGTATTTCTATTTAATTTTGTTAAGCATTTAAATACAAAACATAAAAAAATTAATGAAATGTAAAAATATCTTGGAATTAAAATATTTAAATACATTGTTTTTTAATATAAATATTTATATTAGTATTGAATTTCCCATTGGGATTAATTATTTTTGAATGGATTTTAACTGATTTACCTTTCATTTCCGTTTCAATTAGCAAAAATTGTTAGTTTTTTATAGGAAATCAGTTCAATTGAACCCGTTTGGCAACACGAAGTAGGTTAAAGAAATTCTTATTTCTTGTCGCCTTGATTGCAGCTTACAGATGATCTAAAATGGATGGAGTTTAATTTGGTGAAACAAAAAGTTGTACAAGGTAAAGCAGAAATCCATGAGGCCAATCTTTAATGGTCTAATGCAGCCCTCATCATCTATAATAACTTAATAGCTTCCTAATATCCTTGACCTATAAACCTCTATAAATAGCTTAAACTCTGTTTATGTGATATTCATCCAAATGAAACACTAAATTGTTTGAAAAGGGAGGAAAAAAACAAACACTCACCAAATCTAAGGCAGAGCCCCCACCCAAATACTCCATAATGATCCATAGCTTTGTGTCCTGCATTGAAGGAGAAAACAGAACAGAAGCTTTTAACTGATTTGCTGTATGTCAGGAGAAACCAAACACGCTTTACTGCAGGACTTTCTACAAGGCAGTGAAAAATGAACGAGTCCTAATGACCCTATTAGGAGTCTGGGAGTCAGGTGGGTGTTTAAAATCATCTGAGGCCAATCCTTTTTTTAAATGTGGGATTAATCATAGGAGGAAAACTGGCTTAGAAAAGAAAATCTCTTCTGCACATTTAGATGTTGCTATACAGGCTAAAAGAGGCTGTATATTAGGGGTGCAGAGACTGACCAATGGGTCCTGATTTACTTAAATGAGGCTGTTTTCGAACGTCCGCCCAAACCCCTAAATCCCTATATAGAGCAGGGACTATATAGTGAACTCAGTTAACTGATCGTTCGGACAGATGATCATTACTTTACACTCCACGTTGGTCATGTAACTCAGCCTCCCTGCACAGTGCCTCGCCATCTTTGTTATTAGTTGCCGCTGTTGGGTAGCGACAGCCTCTGACTACAGCAGGCCGCAGTGACAACAAATCCCATGATGCCTTGCAGGGAGAGCACTAAGCATGCTTAGTGTGAGGCATTGCATTAGAGTCAATGAGTCGATGCAATCAACTGGTTTTCCTTAGATAGAAAACTTTGAATTAAATTGACTGTATGATCTGGTAAACTGTAAAGTGCCTTGAGATGACATGTTGTGAATTGGCGATATAGAAATAAACTGAATTGAATTGAATCCTGGCAAAGCATTCCTGGATATATTTGCTTCTCTAGTGACCAAGGATGATCACTACTATTCAAGGGGCATTGTGGGAAATATCGAGTCCACAGCTTTTTCATCCACAAACCAGGGGTGTCAAACTGGTTCCAGAAAGGGCTGTGTGGCTGCAGGTTTTCTTTCCAACCAAACACTTGCACACCAGACATTCATCTCATCAAGGCATCATGTTCAGATTGGACTCACTTGATGAGATGAATGGAGTCTGGTGTGCTATTGTTTGGTTGGAAAGAAAACCTGCAGCCACGCGGCCCTTTCTGGAACCAGTTTGACACCCCTGCACTAGACCATCGGCGTCGGCAGACCTTTTTCACAGGGGAACATGCCCAGTTGTGGATCTGCGGTGCCTGGATATTCCTGGGGCGCTGATTTCTTAATTAATTAATTTTCCGCTTTCACAGCGGAGTTAAGAGAGGAGAACACTCAAAATTAAGCCAGTCACAATTGATTGACAGCTTCTCAAAAATGAAGCAGAGACGCTACCGTTTACTGTTAAAAAAAATTAACATCCAGCTCTCCCATCTTTCTGGCCACATTATAGGATCATCAGCATCACACAATCATAGGATGGGCTCAAATAGAAATGATAAACACAGACATGAACGTATGTAGAGTTTTTTTGTGTGTTTTTCCTTTTACAGTTGCACATTTCAAGTTTTCAGTTTTGAAGTTCATGTTTGCTGACAGATATTTAATGTTAAAAAGTTAAAGTTTAAAAAGTTAAATTGTGCCTTCATCAGTAGTGGATCAGAGGTATACAGTTAAGTTCACAATTGTGCCAATTTAATTCAGTTTGGTTCAGATAGATATTTAATAATGTGGAAAATAACAATCTGATTGTACAATTAATTTATGACGCTTTATAATTATATGTACTATAAAATATTTGCTTGTGTGCTTGAATTAATTATCTGTGCCTATGCTTTTTTAAAATAATTACACAAAAAAAAATTTTTTGTGCCGTATTGAGTCAGCTGACGCCGCTGCACTAGACGTTCTGACACTCATCTAAGGTGACGTAATCACTATATAGTTGGACGGCGAGCAGAGATTCAGTGATCAAAGTCCCGGATCGGATATCAACTGATAATAATTTGCTGAGCTGGGCATTCTTCTGATTAATCTTTTTTAAAATTATATATTTCTAGTCCCTTCGATAATATGTTTGCAGCGCTGATCATGGAGAGCATGCACAGCAGCCAGTGAGGATTTATATCTCTGATAATGTCTTTTTTTCCAGCTTTTTTATTGTCATCACACTGTCACAAGTAAAGAGCAACGAAATGAACTCTCTGCATTTCACCCATCCCCTTGGGTAGCAGTGGGCTGCTATTGTGTGGCGTCCGGGGAGCAGTGTGGGGGGGTTGAGGGTCTTGCTCAGGGACCCAGAGTGGCATTCTGTGGGAGTGGGGCTTGAATTCAGAAACCTCTGGATTCCAAGCGCAACGCCCTAACCACCAGACCGCCACTCCCTAAACTCCCCCTAATTTGGTACCTCTTTAAAAATGTCTAGGCCTAACACCGTCACTCTCATGCAAGGTATGCGGCTCGATCATTAAACTGTAGTATTGGTATCAACCGACAGGCTCCGCCCAGGTATCGGAAAGGAAACTAGATCTGTGCATCTCTAAGGTTAGATGTATAACCAGTTTTATCCACCAATCTTAGCCTCTGCAAAGCTCGAAACTTTCCATTTCTATTTTAGATCATTATCCCATGAAGTTAAAACCAGTTTGTATTGTTTTGTGGGTATTCAATGTATTATAAATTAAGTTATTTGTGATATAATTGATAGTGTCCTTTAAAGAGAACAGAACTATTAGTAAAAATAAGAATCGACATGTCAGACTTTTAAAGGTTTGGTGATCGGCCAGAAAACTGCAATCAGTGCACCCCAGACTGCTTTGCTGAAGCTGTCAGGTTCCTTAAGGTTTTACACAAACTTGTAAATTCAGATTTTTGTGGAAAAGCGGGCTGAATGCCACACTATTCAGATTGCTTCCCTTTGCAAATATATAATTTTATATATACATTTATTACATAAAATCAGAATAAAACACAATGATTGGGCGTTTACCTTCAGGTATGAGCCGTAATACTTGGTAACAAAAGGGCTGTCGCACTGGCTCAGCACCGTGATCTCCTGCTGAATGTCTTCTATCTCATCCTCTGCTTCCTCCAGGTCTATGATCTTAATGGCCACCACCTTCTGCGTACGATTGTCGATGCCTTTGAACACCTCGCCAAAGGAACCCTTCCCAATGCGCTCCAGCTTGGTAAACAGCTCCTCGGGGTCCACTCTGACGTTCTGATTGTTGAGGGGGAGCGGGCGCGGACAAAGCAAGGGGAAGGGAAGGTGGGTTTCAAAGAAATCATAATAAACAGAATGAAAGAAAAGTCGGGAGTGAATCCAAAACAGCCGGTCGGGTGGCATTCTTACAGGATGCATTAATTCACTCATTGCAACTCTTAAGTTTATGTGAAGAGAAAAACAGAGGAGAGTAAGTGGGGGAAGAGTAATGATTGGATAACATGCAGGTTCAAAATAAAAGTAATAAAATTAAAACAGCTGCTAAGAGTTCCCATGTTTCTCCCTTTAATCCCTGACACATCCTTTAGTAGTTTGATCAATAAATAAATAGCTAAAAACTGTAACTTTGCCTTCAAAGAAGAGTATAAATATCCACCCAGTGTTATATGGGCTATTTTTCTGTAGTATGAACAATATTGTGTGAAATGGAGGAAAAAAACCAATTGAGTTCCACAGGAAGTGAACTAAAATGACTTAACTCTCCAGAGGCTGTTATGTGGAAAACACAAGCGTCTGCGGCAACTAAAAACTTCCTTTTATGACCTCTTTCAAGCAGAGAAAACTCATTAAAGCCAATTGAAGGCAGCTAAAATTAACACTGGAGACTTTTGAAAAGGATAGACCCATAATTCCCATTGTTTTTACATAAATGCATCAGTTGCATACAAACATTTCAAAAATCAAAATGTCCAATCACATAATACGCTTATAAACTGTGGCTATTTATTTGGCCATATTTTGGAAGGTTTATTCCACTCTTTGCATTTGCAGATGATTTGAAGATGCTTAAAACATGTTCAGCTTGTTTTTACACCCCAATCCTTTTAATTTATCTGCAACTATCAGCTTTGATCCCATTTAATGTGTTTTTCTGAATAATTTCTTCACTTAGCAGCCTAATTTCAACTTAGATTAAATAGCAAACTCAGTTATACTTTTTTGTCTTCTCTTTACAATTCAACTGTACTGACTTTCTGCAGTAACAAATGTTTTGTTTGCAAAATTGTCATTACAATTCTGGATCTATAATGGTGGCTTAACCTAAGCTCTTAAAAACCAGGATGGTTCCTTTTTCAATAAGGGTGATTTACATGGCTGAATCATTTCCCCAATATGCCATCAAGTTCTGCAGAAACCAGCTGATAAACCATTTCCATGAGGTGTATTTGGTCAGTGAAATATCTTTAATACTCAGGTTCTTTAGGACAGGATTTCCTAACCCTGATCTATCGCATGTAATCCCAAGACATGTGAATAAATTAGATTTCTTCTGTAAAGTTTTGCAACATAACTCCCTAAATATGCCTCAGAAGTTAAATTTAATGTCATTTTTAGAAGAAAAAAAAACACTTTAGTTTCTCATGGGAATTTCCGAGCTGTGCTTATGTCCTTGAATGCTCCATCTCACTAAGCTGTTTAGGTGCACAGCGTTATTAACCCTACATGGACTCACTGAACAGTTTGTTCTTATAGCGAATAAGTTGGGGGAAAAAGTTCAATGGACATTGAGCTTACCTGCATCCCCGGCAGGTTACCCTGAACGGGAGAATGCGCCATAATGAAGAAGATCGGGTTTGCTCCTCGTCCAGGAACGAAGGGGCTTAGATCGCCCCGGCTGTGGTGCTTTCAAAGCTATTAATCCAGTAGGATTCCTGGCAATCCAAATCTAAAGAGAAGTTTCCGCTGCTTTTAAACAGCGACCCGTCCTTAAAAACACTCTTTATATATTTACATTAACAAAACAGCCCTAAGAAAGGGAGGAAAACACAGCTAACTAACGTTTACTAACGCTGATGCTAGCTGCAAACAAGAAATCCGCAATATTAGCATGCTAACCAACTAGCTAAGCGTTAAATCCAATTTATGACTTCGGAAAGTTGAGCCGCAGTAGTCAGCCGTATCCGCTATAGTTTATTTAGGAGAAAAGGCTATTTATATCTGAGCAGTCCAAGTGTCACTATGTGATCGCACAGCGTCTCGATGCTGTCAGCTAGCAGACATGGTTAGCAGGTTAGCTCCCAGAAGATCCGATAAAACGGTCCCTGCGCGCGCCGCCGCGGAGCGCACTGTGTTTGCATCCGGCAAAAACAAGAGCCGGGCTGCTCCCAGCGCTTTATCTCAGCCCTCTGCACCGCTTAGAAATCTGGCCTCTTCAGCAGGGGGTGGTGGTGGGGGGGACAGATCACAGATGTTTTTGTTTTCTCCCTCACTTTCGACCCGTAATCTCGGCCATCTTGTCGGTGCCGTGACGCCGAGCTGGGCGGATCCGGATCCGGATCGGCAGCAACATCCTGACGGCTGGATAAACTCGGTGCTGATGCAAGCCTCTGAGATCCCTGCAGCTTTACATGAAAGTTGCAAAAGTGACTAAGTCAATCATCCTACTTCTTCTTCCTCTTTGGAGTCAATCATCCTAAATAAAATTAACATCCTGTAATACTGCAGCTCTGATAATTATGTATTTAGTATTTTTTTTTATCAAAAGTTGTACACTCCATTACGGAAGAGGATTAGGGCCACTGAAAAATGTTTAAAAGTTAACTGATTTTTAAATTTTATTTCAGTTTAATATGAGAAAGCAGTCAGAATTCTGACTTTTTTCTCTGAATTATGACTTTTTTCTTAGATTTATGATTTTAATCTCAAAATTCTGTCTTTAATCTCAGAATTCTGATTTTCTTTCTCAGAATTCTGATTTTAATCTCAGAATTCCAACGTTTTTCTCAGAATTCCGACTTCAATCTCAGAATTCTGACTTTAATCCCAGAATTCTGACTTTGATCCCAGAATTCTGACTTTAATCCAAGAATTCTGACTTTAATCCCAGAATTCTGACTTTCTTCTCAGAATTCTGATTTTAATCTCAAAATTCTGACTTTAATCTCAGAATTCTGACTTTAATCTCAGAATTCTGACTTTCTTCTCAGAATTCTGATTTTAATCTCAGAATTCTGATTTTTTTCTCAAAGTTCTGACTTTAATCTCAGAATTCTGATTTTCTTTCTCAGAATTCTGATTTTTTTCCTCAGAATTCAGATTTTAATCTTAGAATTCCAACGTTATTCTCAGAATTCTGACCTTTTTTCAGACTTCTGACTTTTTTCTCAGACTTCTAACTTCAATCTCAAAATTCTGACTTTAATCTCAGAATTCTGACTTTTTTCTCAAAGTTCTGACTTTAATCTCAGAATTCTGATTTTCTTTCTCAGAATTCTGATTTTAATCTTAGAATTCCAACGTTATTCTCAGAATTCCGAGCTTTTTCTCAGACTTCTGACTTCAATCTCAAAATTCTGACTTCAATCTCAAAATTCTGACTTCAATCTCAAAATTCTGACTTTAATCTCAAAATTCTGACTTTAATCTGAGAATTCTGACTTTTTTCTCAGAATTCTGACTTTAATCTGAGAATTCTGACTGAATTCTGACAGCTAACAAACATGTTAGCAACAAGCTGTAGCCATGTCTGTTTTAAAGACTAAACTAGCTCTCTTGTTTTAATCACCTTCTGCTCTTCCAATAATGAAATAGAATCTCGAGGGACCCCTCAGGCACGTAAAAGGTCACCTAATTCTCTCATTTTCCTCCAAAGTGTGACTGGCCCTCTCAAATAACTCACATCTTTGTCATTGAAGCTGAGTGCTCCCACATCTCTTCCTTCATGGTGCCCATCTACATTAAGATCCAAAATTCTGAGATTAAAGTCAGAATTCTCTTTTTTTTTTTCTCATATTATACTGAAATAAAATTTCAAAATCAGTCAACTTTTTTGTTTTTTTCAGTGGCAAATAAGGAAATCTTTTAGCACACCAGCAACAAATTGGTCAGGATGTCAAAGTGGACTCAGGTTGTTGTTCTGTGGAGCTGGTCGGCCGTCATATGGTGTTCGGAGCTCAAAGCTTTCTTTCTGAAACGGTTTGTGGTATGTTGACTTCATCCTCGTATTATTATGATTCTCGTAATGTTTTGACTTTATTCTCGAAATAGAAGAAAACAAAATCTGTAGCCTGGCCCTAATACTCTGTCGTAGTGTTTAATATATGGAGAACCAAGCCTGCCATAATTAAAAATGAATACAGAAATAAATAAATGCTCCAAATATAGAATTAATTTCCCCCCAAAAATGCAAAAAAGAAATAGATGTTAACATATAATGCTAACATTGTAGTATTGACTTAACTATTTTTCATTTGGACTAGGGTTACCAGATTTTGGTTTCTGAAAAGGAGGACACTTTTTTTTCAGCTCCGGGGCTGGTCCAAAAACAAGGTCTCCCTTTTCACAAACCCAAGCATTGGATTTGTTTTCAAAAAAAGTTGCTAAATGTCTCAGCTCACTGACCGCTTCATCGTAGGTATTCATGTTTGTTGTGACTTTGGTCGGTGGCTGCTAACCAACCAATGAAACCTTAAGACACACCCCTCCTCATTTGCATAACGAAGCAGAAATGCATACAGTCAGAAATAAATAGCGTTGAAGAAATAAATGGGGTAAAAAAAAGTACGAAGGAAGAATAAACCAGACAAAAATATAACATGCACATAAATAAATACTTAAAGGGGAATTACTTTTTTTTTTTTACATTGGGCCCTTGATTTTACGTTATTACATCATGTTCTACTCAACCATATGAGTTTTGTGTCATTTGGAGCCGTTCTGAAGATATTCCATTAGGTTATATCCAAGTAACGTCTTCCTATGGGCAACGAGTTGAAGGCACAAACTAAACTGTTCATACTTTATTCTTTATGGTACGCAAGCATTCATAACATGAAGGCAAATCACTGTCCCTCAGACATCCGCGGTTATATTTTTTATATTTATATCAAAGCGGCAACGTGTATGATGTCATGCGCATGCGCCGGCTACCATTCATTCATTCTGTCCGCTGAACTGCTGCTAGTTTTGCTCACATGCCTGGAAGATGTCTAGTGCTACTACCACAGATGATCTCGCTCTCGAAATGGAATTGAACGATTCAGATTAGCTAGCCGAATTAATAGAAGGGGTAGAGCGTAGCCGCCTGTGGCCCCGGCTGCCTGTCACAACTCCAGTCCGGCGCGCGGATGACATCATACACACTCCACTTTGTTTTAAAAGAAATATAAATATAAAAAAATATAACTGCGGATATGGGGGACATTGGTTCGCCTACATGTTATGAAAGCTGGCGTACCATAAAGAACAAATTATTAACAGAGTTTAGTTTGTGCCTTCAAGTCGTTGCCCAAAGGGAGATGTTACTTGGATATAACCTAATGGAATATCTTCAGAACGGCTCCAAATGACACAAAACTCATATGGGTAAGGAGAACATGATGTAATAACATAAAATCAAGGGCCTAATGTAAAAAAAAAACCCGGCAATCCCCTTTAAAGAAATAAGTAGTGAATAAATAAAGTTGAAGAATATAACAGAAAATAAATAAATAAGGTAATTATTACAAAGGCAAATATATATATATATATATATATATATATATATATATATATATATATATATATATATATATATATATATATATATATATATATATATATATATATATATATATATATATATATATATATATATATATATATATATATATATATACACACTCACCGGCCACTTTATTAGGTACACCTGTCCAACTGCTCGTTAACACTTAATTTCTAAGCAGCCAATCACATGGCGGCAACTCAGTGCATTTAGGCATGTAGACATGGTCAAGACAATCTCCTGCAGTTCAAACCAAGCATCAGTATAGGGAAGAAAGGTGATTTGAGTGACTTTGAACGTGGCATGATTGTTGGTGCCAGAAGGGCTGGTCTGAGTATTTCAGAAACTGCTGATCTACTGGGATTTTCACGCACAACCATCTCTAGGGTTTACAGAGAATGGTCCGAAAAAGAAAAAACATCCAGTGAGCGGCAGTTCTGTGGGCGGATATGCCTTGTTGATGCCAGAGGTCAGAGGAGAATGGCCAGACTGGTTTGAGCTGATAGAAGGGCAACAGTGACTCAAATAACCACCCGTTACAACCAAGGTGGGCAGAAGAGCATCGCTGAACGCACAGTACGTGGAACTTTGAGGCAGATGGGCTACAGCAGCAGAAGACCACACCGGGTGCCACTCCTTTCAGCTAAGAACAGGAAACTGAGGCTACAATTTGCACAAGCTCATCGAAAATGGAAAATAGAAGATTGGAAAAACGTTGCCTGGTCTGATGAGTCTCGATTTCTGCTGCAACATTCGGATGGCAGGGTCAGAATTTGGCGTCTACAACATGAAAGCATGGATCCATCCTGCCTTGTATCAGCGGTTCAGGCTGGTGGTGGTGGTGTCATGGTGTGGGGAATATTTTCTTGGCACTCTTTGGGCCCCTTGGTACCAATTGAGCATCGTTGCAACGCCACAGCCTACCTGAGTATTGTTGCTGACCATGTCCATCCCTTTATGACCACAATGTACCCAACTTCTGATGGCTACTTTCAGCAGGATAATGCGCCATGTCATAAAGCTGGAATCATCTCAGACTGGTTTCTTGAACATGACAATGAGTTCACTGTACTCAAATGGCCTCCACAGTCACCAGATCTCAATCCAATAGAGCATCTTTGGGATGTGGTGGAACGGGAGATTCGCATCATGGATGTGCAGCCGACAAATCTGCGGAAACTGTGTGATGCCATCATGTCAATATGGACCAAACTCCCTGAGGAATGCTTCCAGCACCTTGTTGAATCTATGCCACGAAGAATTGAGGCAGTTCTGAAGGCAAAAGGGGGTCCAACCCGTTACTAGCATGGGGTACCTAATAAAGTGGCCGGTGAGTGTATGTATATATATATATATATATATATATATATATATATATATATATATATATATATATATATTTAAGAATTTTTTTTTGGAGCATTTAGTTATTTCTGTATTTATTTCTAATTATGCTAGGATTGGTCCTCCATACCATAAAGCCAACATTGCAAAAAAAAAAAAAATAAAAATAAATATCATGCTGGTGAGATGGACAGTTCTTTGGAGTGGCCAGGAGAGGGCGCCAGTGTGTTAATTTGAATCGAGCATCTTCCTCCGGTGATGCTGGCAGAACGTCGCGTGCCGCAACAAGAAGCGATTGATGATGAATTAAACGATCACCGCAGTGTGCTAAAATGATCTTTACTAGGATGATCCCATTGTTTATTTTTCCTTATCATACATTTAAACATAAAAGCGATCCAACATGGCTGTGCCATCATCCCTGCTGCGTTTGTGTTACATCGCATTCACGTTTATTTAG